TCTTAAATTGGTCCAACTAAACACTAAAATGGTTATTATCATTTCATTCCTACACATTTCATATTTACAACCAAACAATAGAATGAGAATGAACATTTTATTTCATTATCATTCTCATTCACATTCCATTCCACTTGTATTTCATTTTATTCCTGCACACCAAACGCAATATCACTGTTTGATTGGTTAGATGGAATGAATAACATACAACACTTTATTTTGTTTGATTGGAAAGAAAGAAATTGAATATTTATAATTTTGTAGATGACTAAGGCTAAAAATGATATTTTGTATTAATAGATAGGGATTTTTTTTTATTTTTTATTTTGTATGCGTGGGTGAGGGGAGAAGCTTCCACCCTCTTTCGTTTCCTTCTTTTATCCGTGCTCTATTTTATCCTTCCTCAATTATTCCTTTCCACCAAACATAGTATAAGACTGAAATTCTACCAGTATCAATATAATTCAATAAAAAAATATGTTTAATGAATTATTCTATAGCCTACTAGTTTAGAAAGATTTCTTATATGTTTTACAAATTTTAGGAGCACTTACTTGTAATGTCACTTGACCAACCGGTTAGTATTTTATAATAAAATATGATTGGTAAGCCCAAAATTCTCACACTTCTGAATACCAAAGTGGGAAGAAAATAATATAAAAAAATGGCACAAACGCTGGGACAATTTGTAAGTAGTTGTGCTATAAGATCCTCCCAACCTTATTAGACCAGGGGAAAGAAATGCATATTTTATGTCAAAAATCAAATTTAATCTACGGGTTTTTTTTTTTTTGTTTTTGGTGTGTGAGTGGGGGTGGGTGGGTGGGTGTGTGGTTGTATAAGTACAATGGTAATTTACAATGTGTGCTTTGAGCTTGGGCTGAAAAAATAAGACATAAAGCCCAAAAACTTCACAAAAAGAGCTTAGGCATAGTAAATAATTAAATATAGTGTACAATTTTCATCTAATTGTAATTATATACAATTATTATTATTATTATTTTTTAATTGGTACTCACATACCCTTCACTGAAATTCGAACTCTACATCGTTAAGTTACATGCCTGTTGGTAATTATATACAATTTTAAGTCAACTAATTGTCTGCTTAAGTAAGTTTTCATCCATGCAGTAAGCAACATTAATTAAATCTAAATTCAATCAAGTTGCTTTTGTGACCACTTTGATAACAAGCCATGAAAGTTACAGGTTCGAATTTAATGGATAAAGTTAAATCAAATCAATCTTAAACAATGCCAGCTCAAAATTATAATTCTTGTTTTCTAAAATCTGCCAATTTGCTTATGTGATCATATCGCAGTTGGATAGTATAGCGAACTATATTCAGTGTGTCGAGCGGGTTTGAATTTTTTTCGTTGCGAAAATTTGAGACTTAAATCTCACTCATGTTATGAAGTTGGTGTGAATGGGTAAAAAAATAAAAACTCCAACAAAAAATAGTCATCATTTATGGTATTAGTAATACCTGTGGCGTTAGGTATTTCTTGTCTAATATATATATTGGTTAATTTTTTGTTTGTAGTAAAACTTGTAAATCCTATAGAATCTTTATTTATTTTAGTGTTTATGATTCTCATGATGATAATGAAAGTATATATAATATCGAAAGTATAGATGAAAAATTCAAGGAGGACCACACAAACTATCTATATGATAATGAATAAGATGCTAAAAGATATCCAAAGGTTATTATAATAATTTATGAGCACAGGAGAATGCTATGAGCACACGAGAATGCTCTCTGGATTCTTTTGGTGAAATCATTACACTTCTAAAAAATATAATCTACGCAAAAGTAAAATTTACAAATTTCTGAAGATACCTATCGATTAATGTTGGTATCATAATTGCTACTATAATGGATAAGGAAGAGGACTACGTCAAAGGACTACATGCTTGGTTAGATAGGAAAGTGAGTAGTGAAACCTATAAAATACCAATATATATATTAAACAAAATAACTTTTTAATCCCGTCATTACTCTAGCTATCACAAAAAAGTTATTAAACTTGAAGAAAATACACACACACACCTTGAGTCAATGTAGTGCAAGGGCCAACCTGATGGTAACAAGTTACCATCTAATCAAATGAAAATAAATATTCACATGTATAAGTACTTAGGGTTCGATTTGGATAAATTAAAATTTTTTAATCCAGTAAATTGCTTTTAACTTTCCTTGAATTGTAGGGTTTTGCATTAAATTCCTATATATTTATTTATTGGTCAAAAAAACCCCTCAACTTAACCCGGGGGATTACTTTTACTAAAATACCCCCACCAAGTCCAGTCATGAGTGAGTTTATTATAATTCGGCCCATGGCATAAATTTAGCTAAAAGTTTTTGTTTTTTTTTTTTATTTGTATAATAATATTTGAATTTATATTTTTTGTTATATGTATCATCATATTTTTAGTTAAAAAAAATAATTAAAATTCATTGTTATGAGTGCAACTATTAAAAGTTCAAAAAAATAATAAATATATAAGACTTTTTGCATGTATTTAACTGTATTCACAGAATTGAGCGAATCCTCCTTAACTTGGTGGGAGCATTTTTGACAATAATTCAAAATATTCCTTGATTAGTTGAGGAATTTTTTGGGAAAAAAAAAATATTTAAAAGAAACTTAATTACAAAGCGCTACAAGTTGAAGGGATTAGCTTGAATCTATAAACTACGAACCAAACTAATCCTAATAATTGCACTACTTTAGAAATCGAAACCAAGTCAGTGACTAATAGAGTTGAACCAACCTCTATGGTTTAGATAAATTCCAATTGGATTCACTTTGACCACTTTCATCATTACAAAATAATAAATCTTGGGTACTTGTGGATCTATTGCCTGGGAAATCAGTTGATGAAAATGGATTATAAATATAACAAAATTTGATTTTACATATTGAAAGTCACCTAGTTCCATATTTTTGCCAATGGATACACTCAAGATAAGGCATTGATGACGAGAGGACATTTCCTTTTATTGCTAAGCATAATCATAGTTGTAATTGTTTTTTCTTAACATTGGACTCGTTCACAAATCATGCCCATCATTTAAAATCATTTTTTATCGAGTTTCAAACAGAAAACCTAAGGGAAACACCCAAAGATTTTAAAACAGTTGAGTTAATAATCTGCACGGGCTGTTTCTTGTGGTATATATATATATATATAAAACAGTTGAGTTATATATATATATATATATATATAGACACACACACTTTATCAAAGTGTATATGATCTTGTCATGTTCTTTTGGTATTATATCCTATTGAGTCATTACCTGAATATGAATCAAAAAGCAGTTGGGACTTACTTTGATACCCAGGATACTCACTGTCACACTTTTTAAATTATTTTCCTGGGATCAAAGTGGATCAATTTGACCAGTAAAATACATATTTGCAGCAATTAAAAGGTAGGTTTAACTGATGCAAGAGTTGCAGAAATTCTACTAGAGTTGAATGTCAAGAAGCTTCAAGATTGAGACACCACTTATTCACTCTCTAATCCTACAATATACTATCAATTCATTTAGGCCAAACCCTAAACCTAGGTGATGAATTTAGCACCACAGTGGTTTAAGTAGTTTGTTGTTGTCTCTAGCTAAAAACTTAAGCGATTAAAGAAGTTGTAATTTTACTATTTAAATTCTTCAACAGATGTTGACTTAAATACTCTCTCTTTTTTAAATGCAACTTTTGCTATCTTTAAAAAAATTATAGAAAATATTGAAAGCTTAAGTCAGTTAAGAATGAATTGATTCGACTCAACGTTTATTGAATTGTAAGTTATCATATATATATATATATAATACTCTCTCTTTTTCAAATACTGCTTTTACTATCTTTAAAAATATTGTAGGAAATATTGGAAGCTTAAGTCAATTAAGAATAAATTGATTCGCCTGGGCGTTTTATGAATTATAAGTTATCACACACACACACACATATATATATATATAGATTTTGATTAATGGTGGTAGCATTAAGAAGGCCAAAAAGAAAAGGTCAAACTTTAGTTGTCGATAAACCTTAAAGAAATAAATTTTGTGACCAAAAATCACATCACATGAAGTTTAGATACATGCAGCTCTAAAGCAACCTGGATCAAGTAATTACTCTTAATATATAAGAATTAGAGAAATCTACCCCGCCATGAGGTTTTTCCGTCTTTTTTTATTGTACTTTTGTTACCTAGTTATTGTTTTATGTTAACATATGGTTTTGTTTATCAGACCATTTATTTGTTAAATTGTGGTATTAAAAGATCACTTCAAATTTTAAAGTATTTGTTTAGTTACATTTCCCAAAAGTTCTTTTTTCTTATTTATTAATTCATTGCCTTTTAGTACTTTTAAAAGTCGGCTTAACAAGTCAACCGTGAACTGCTCTAGGTTAAAAACATTTGTTATCTTCATTCCATGGATTAGTTGCTTGTCCATCTGACCTAACACATTATATTATACCAAAGTTCAGCTACCTCAGGCACATAATTCCTTTCCAATTTTTTTTAAAGGAATTTAGTAAGGACAAGGAAACGGAAAATAAGAAGGCAAACTATATAGTGAGGACAAGGAAAGGAAAGGAAAAAGAAAAGGCAAAACCAAAAACAAAATAGTGCTCCTTATTATTGCAACATTACTCGGTCACAAGTATGAATATGCATGTTCGAGTCTACGAGCAGTCATTTTATACAAAATTACACCAAATTTTAGCATCCCGTCTTAAGCAAAACGAAGATAATTAGCTTAAATCAAGGTAGAAAGTAACAATTTCTCAAAAAGTGGCTGAAATTAGGAAAAAAAAAAAGAAAAAGAAAAAGAAAAATTTAATAAATTTCACATTGCCTTTTCTCATATTCTCTTGTGGTCCCTGTTTTCCATGGGAACCAAGAAGGGGAAAATTATATGCTTTACATTGTCTTTTACTTTGCAAGACTAAATTTGCAAACCAAATATAGATTAAGAGGAACAACTTGATCAAAAGCCTTCACTATTGCATAGAATCAATACTATGTCAATTACATACAAAGAACATGGATCATTAAAACAAGCTTGCATATTCATGTCCACAAAGATCAAGAGATTTACAATTTTTATTATAATATGAATCTATGATGATCTTACAAACCATGGAACAACAGTAAAAGCTTCTCAAAGTGGAAGAGGTGCTTCCGGACAAGATAGATGTGTAGACTGTAGAGGGTTGCAGCCATTGTCACCAACACAAAGGACAACATTGTCAACTCCCAGAAATCCTGAGTAAGAGTGCAGCAGCAGAAAGTAAGTGATAATAACTTTCAAGAATGACTGTACTTCTGAAACAGGAGAGATGATTTCACATTATTAAGTCCCAAAAAGTTTATGAGATGCTTTTGTTTTATTGTTCTTTGTCCTTCTCACTATTTATTTTAAGACAAAACTTGAAACCACTGTTACTTGAATGCATTATGAATGTCATCAAGCAATTCATGATTCTTATGTGCACACACACACACACACACACACACACACACACACAGAATCTTGTTACAACTCATTGATGTCTAATGTTTAGATTCAAAGTTACTAAAAGGGGAAGCGGGTGCGAGTACTTTGAGAAAGCAAAAGCTAATAGGCCAAATGGCACAGGTAAGAAGTAGCCAATTTAAGATTAATAAATAAAAATATGCAAACCATGAGATTTAAAAATTGCCGTTAAGAATAAACTTTAGAATGTCAGCCTACAATTTTTCTATAATTCGAATTTGGCGGGATGTTCAATTCCCTCATAATCCCTATGAGGCTTTACATTTTTCACCAGTTTTTTTTTTTTTTTTCCCCCATGCAAATGAAAATACAATTTATACATTTCCTTCTCCACAGCAAAGAACTACGGATTTAAAACATTTTTTTTTCTTCATATAATTGTAATAAAGGATTTTTCAGCTTTTGCTTTCAATTACTGTTGTTATTGTTCTATAATGCTTTTTACCCTTTTAAAATCTCCAAAACTCATGAAGAATTAATGAATTAGTTCTGAAAGGAAAAAATGATACTGGCGGAATTCATGCAGATTTTTATCAATTTTGGAACATTATAGTTTTAAAATATAGCAACTTACATACACAACTCATATAGCAACTTGCAAAGTAAAAGTGCATGTTGACAATGAGAAAGGAAGGATCATAGGAAGTCAGGCTTATATCAGTAATGGACTAATGGGCTTTTGGGGGGCTGAGTGGAAAATCCTTCTAGTGTCTCCATGTACAAGGTGTTTTCCATTTTATTTATTTATTTTGGAAGGAGGGGAAGGGGGGCGGGGAGGCATGGACGCCTTGCTCTCCACTATAATCCGTGCACAAATTTCACATGTAGCAGTGTTATCAAAGGCCCAAGACAATAGAGGTCCTTTGGAGCCTAGACGCTAGGCACAAGGTGAGGAGCGCAACTGAGTGAAACGAGGCGCACAATTGAAAAAATAAATTACTATTAAAGCATATTCATACTCCATATTAAAGGCACAAATGTTGTCAAAGGCGCAAATGGGCACACAACAATCGCTAGTGTTGCGCCTGGAGCCTAAGCGCGCCTTTAAGAACACTGTATATGCACGGATGCTAGCAAGTCTTAGTGTAGTTGTTTAACCTATTTGTACATTTACATCATAAGAACACAAAACTACAGGGACAACCATTCGAGACTATGAGCAGGCATAAATTAGCATTCCATTTAAATTGTCAAATAATAATAATAATAATAATAATAATGCCAAAGGACAATCACCTGGGGATTGGAGATGATTATACCCATAAAATAAGTCATCAAGTCGAAAACTGACTGCAGTGAATTTTGAACACCTCCCACAACACAACGATCAGATTCAGGAACTTGGTCCTATACCCAAGTAGGTAAAAGAAAGTAAACATGACTTTTCTTCATATTGAAAGAAAGAGAATCATATGATCATATAAAGAGAAATTGTCATTTGATATGATTTCTTCTCTTCATTACCTGCATTTGTTGAATGACAGATAAGTCAAACATCCACAATCCGAGGCGTGATAATGCTACTCCACCCATCAAAATATACGCTGCTATAAGGTTATTTTGGATAAATGTTGAAGCAACACATACTAAGAGGCAAGTCCACTGCACAAGAACAACAGAGACACCAAAAATAAAAATTGATAGAACTAGGGATCAGCTAGAAATTAATTGAACAAAGAAAGGGTTCACATGGAAACAGCAATGATTTCCCACTGGTTTTATTCAAATGTCTCTAAGAGGATCACAATGACCTCATTCCCTGTCCAGCGAACTTAATACCTGAGACCAGATGGACCAGAGTCCTGTTCGAAGTGTTGAGACGTGAGATTGTAAGATAGGGTACAGAAATGTTGCAGCTATTCCTATGGTAGCGCTTATTCCGCGAGCAATCCCAATAACATATGCAGGTATACCATCCCATTCCAATGCAGCAGTCATCAAGGTTCCAAAGCTGCAATAGCAAATTTAGTAGGATCGTGAGTTCAATCCCAAAGGCATTAAGAAACAAATATTTTTAGAGAGAAAAAAATTATCTTGTGTGTATTAGGAAGCAACTTTAAACTACCATTAAACTCTGATGCTATAACACTGCCAGTATCAGTTGTCTTTTGGGAGGACATTAGGAAGCAAATTTGAAAGAGGAATCTCATAAAATGTTATTTCCAATGCCACATTTCTCACATTTTATCTTTGTTTCTCTAAGTTATTTATAAGACATTCAAAATAGATCATAAGAACTAAGAAGTCACCCTATCCTGAAGTTTTGTTTCTTGGCACACCCTTAAAACAGAACATGTAATATATATATTTCCTTTCACATATCAATTTTGTTAAGTGGTTCACCTGAGGACGGTAAAATACAATATAGCAAGAGCTAATCCTGGGAGTACCACATCTTGCTGTAAGTACACTCTCCATGCACCAACATACGGAATACTGGAAAACCACACAATTATTTTCCTTTTCAAGCAGTTTCTATCCAACTCTAAATCATTTCCATCATAAGAAATCAAGCTCTTTTTCTCCTGCGAAGAAGACGGGCTCTCTTCCACATCAACTGGTAAAAGTCTTGAGATCCTTTTCTGGTTTCTTTCGCTTAAAGCCGGTATCCCATTGTACACAGACATTAGAAGCCAATATTGCACGAAAACAGATATAACATTCCAGAGTGCTAAAGTCAGTGAAGATGCTTCTAATGACACAAAGCTAATAATGAAGCCAGTAGCCACAGGTGCAAATAGTTTGCAGACTAAATCAATCCGTCTGATAACTGTATTCATCTTTATCTGTAGTTCTGGAGGGTGGCCTTCTGATAACACCACCACCCTGCAATTTGAACATAAGTTTGGCTGCGTTAGAGTGATTCAAACATAAATGCTGCTCTCTAAGGAGAAAAAAGAAGCCTTGGATTCTTGCAACAATTTGGGGGCAAAATGGTTGCTGTAAGATTGAAAATGCTGGTTATGTTAAACTGATATCCAATTTGTAAAAGGAAATAAGGTATATAATGATAGGTACAATTGTAGATCAAACTTCTAATATTAAGAAAACAAGATAAAATCAATACTATGTGAGTCAATCTGTATTCAATTTTTTGTTCATAGAAACTTATTAATGGAGTCACCATTCTCTTTCGATTAAAATGGTTCCAGCAAGAGTGGAAAGAACACCAACAGCTCCAGAGATATTGGTCAATATGACAAGTGAGATGAAAGCCGTTAAATTCGTAAGCTTCAAGTTTGGGTAAACCAGCAACCCAATTACTGTGCCTCCAGCTACCATAAATGAGAGATTTTGTGTTAACAGCCAAAGTTGGAGAACCTGCCAATACGAAATTCAATTGTATCATTTGTCTTCAGTATATCTAACCAACCCAAGTCTGTAACATTATACAATAGAAATTTTCAGAAAACTGTTTATTTTTCAAAATTCTATCCTTGAGATGACCAAACTTGTATTGCTTCTGTCACTGGTCCACTTAATTGCACCTATTGGCAAGGAGACATGAACGTTCAAGAAACCAATAGAAAATTTTTTCAACACCGCAGACCAAGAGTGGCAGTCAACAATTAACAGGAACCCCACTGAAGTGCCAAAGTTTAAATCCATGAATTATTCATGTATGTTCATTTTCTATGTGGCCATTTATTTTTTTTATTTTTTTATTTTTGAGTAATTTGAATAATTTCAATAAACTTGATAACTCGAGCAAAATTTCTGTGATATGCCAAGAGTTCTTTGAAATTTTACTAATTCATTGTGACATTGAAGCAAATAAGAATAAAATTTAAAATTTTGATATAATGTCCGGGGTCACTAAAAAAGCATCGGAACAAACCTTCACATATGTCAATTTATCTACCCATTGTCCAATGAGGGGGCCAAACAACGCAGTAGATGCAGATTCCACCACACCATAAACAGCGGTAAGAAGTAAAGAGTCTGGCCAAATATTAATCATGTATAAACCAACAGAGAATTCCCACATTCTGCAAACAAGAGGAAATTCAAAAGGAATCCAACATTGAATATCAGAAGATTGGAAGTACGCAAGGAATCCATTTGGTAGTTATTGCATAGGATTGACGTTATAGACAAAATTGCCCGAGTTGAAGGATCCTAGCCATTGAATCCATCGAGTTCATTTGACTAGAACGAAATATTAAGGTGGATGACCTTTAAATGGCTCACAGAACCATTTACTTGAAGAATTCAGTGGAATCAAATTCAAGGTAATCTGTGATTCCCGTGCTTCACTTCATTTTCTTGTGCACACGTATAAGGAAAGGAAGATCCTCAGGTTCATCTTCTTATTCCTGAAGATCAATTTTTTTCATTTTTTTTTTTTTTTTTTGGGTAAAAACTACTATATTCAGAAGGATTAAACTGTAGTGTCAACATCATCATATTGTGTTTTTTTTATTTTTCCTTTTTTTTTCCTTCTAGGTTTTTGCAAATTAGTCCAAACCACTGATATCATATCAAATTTTGTAATTCAATATTCAGTCATAAATTGGGAAAAATGAAAGAGGATGCTTTTTCCCAGTTCAGGGCTCAAATTGATTTTCACCCATAATTCACTCATAATGAGTGGGAAAAAGGGCAAAAATGAACGAATACACCCAGTCCAAACTTGAAGGTATTCCAAAACGTAAATTGTGAAATATATATATATATATATATATGGTAAAATAAAAACGAAAGGAAACAACAAAAGTAAGGTCCGAACAAAATAAACAAGTTGTACGAGAAAGAAGAGAACACAAATTATTATTAAAAATAAAATCCCAAATAAATCAATTGTGAAATAAATCCTTCCAAAAATAAAAAAGAATTCTCAAAAACTATTTCATCAAATTTGAATGAAATTAGTAAAAAAAATAATAATAAAAATAAAAAAATGCACTCTAATAATAACACAGGCCTAACAATCATAATCAAAACACCATTTCAGTATCATTGAGAAAATTAAAGAACAAAAGTAAACCCTAACCAGAAAATGATTCAAAAAAATAAACCAACTTTTAGAGAGACAGAGAGAGATCGACCTTGCACCCCATCTTGCTAAGAAGTGGCCAACATATAAATATGTGAGAAGGGACGAAGGATAAGGTGGCGTCTGTTGTTGGGATAGCAATGGGTCTCTCATCATTAACACTCAGGAGCTTCTTTTTCTTCTGATTCCTGAGCCTGAACATGCACTCTGAAATTGTATTCACACCACTAATGTTGTTTGTCTTCTTCGTGATGCTAGTGAATATGATTCGGGTTTTGATGTTGACTCGTGAATAATGATTATTGTACACCTCTAGTAGGTGATCCATTTATGTAGTATTTTGATCAGCTTCAGAAGAACGCAATGGGGTAACGTGGTGCATGTTGGAAAAACACGAGGCCAAAATTTGGAGTCCACTCTAACGTGAGCAATGTGGGTGCTCAATCTAAAACAAAACCATATCACCAGTGACACCTGCACCATCTTCCTCATGTGACATAATTTTGTTACCACACATTATATTTTTTTGTAAATAATAATAATAAATATCTTTTATTGAGTATCAGTATAAATGTGTCATATAACAAGATTATAATAATTGCATCTGATGTGTAACACCAAATGTTGATTCTTCACTATGTCAATAATTATGTTGATGTGCTCTATCTTGCACTCTTTTTTTTTTACTTTCTATTTTATTATATTATTATTCGTCTTACATATCTTTACTTTTTAAAAAAATACAAAAATATACACATTGAGTCCTTAATATGTGAACTCAAACGTTACTCGACTGTGTGAAATTTGATGTGAATTCTATCAAATAAAAAGCCCACAGCAAAGCCATTTTGCTATATCATTAGTCAAAAAAAGAAAAATTGCTTTGTGAATAATCTAATAAGATTGTACCACACATGTAATTGACGGTTGTGTAAGTCCCACACTCGTAAAAACATAAATATTGTCCTTTATTTATTTATTTACCGTATTTTGTTTCTCGCTTTTCTTAGTATTTCACTCCAATGAGCGACTGGGTGGTTGGATTATGAGTGCCGTTTTATATTCATTTGTGGATTTTTTTTTTTTTTTGGGTTAAATTCATTTCTTGATCTTTTCTTTTGGAACACAATGGTCAAGGCCTCACATGGGGCTGAAGCCAACTGATTATTAACAAGAGACAAGAGTACTTAGGTATACACACCCATTATATATATAATTTGAAGTCAAATCAGCTACTATAAATTAATGCCACTGCTAATCACAACATTGATTCTTTACTCTCTTTAATATTACTTATTTAACACAACTTGGATTTTGTGAGTAAATCCCAATTGTCAATTTGTCACATGTAATCAATATTGTCAATTTGTCAGTGTATTTTTCATCCTCTCTGAGAACACTGTCCCCGCGGTATTAAAAAGGGTTTTGTCATCCTTTGCGAAACACCACGGAGAAATATTACTTTTTTAATTTTTAAAAGTAAAAAATCAAAGATTCAAATTTAATGGACGTAAATTCAAATTGTTAAAAAATCAAAATAATGATTCACAAGAGGACAAAAAAAGAAAAGAAAAAAAAGATTCCAAATGTATTATTACGTGCTTTACAGTTTTTACACGGCACCAAAACCAGACAACTAAAAACAGCTTACTTAAATAAAATAATAATAATAATAATAAAATACCACAGCTCAAGCCCCACCTAACTTTTCTGGAATCAAATATGGAAACTATAAAGGCCATTATACAGAATGGTTAGTGATCGTATGGTACATAGAGAAACGAATTGGACGTGTACAAAAAAGATCGGCCAACTGAGTTAGTCAAGAAGACCGTTGCTAATCCTAGGAGAATGAAAAAGCCAAAGTTAACCTGACAATAATTAGTAATCAAGGATACCATAAGATGTTATTTGCTAATATTATGGCGTTGGATGGAGTAGAATGAAAAAATAAGAATCATATTATTGAGTTGTGTTGATAGTGTGTAACATCATCACCAAAACCCAAACTAGCAGAGTTCGTGCTATTTATTGTTTCCTGTTTGAACATGTCAAACACTAACATGATGAAAGACAATAATGCTTAAAATAATATATATATATATATATATATATATATATATATTATTTTAAGCATTATTGTCTTTCATCATGTTATATATATATATATATATAACATGATGAAAGACAATAATGCTTAAAATAATATATATATATATATATATATATATATATATATATATATATTCCCGGCTTAAAATAATAATTCACTCATCAATAATGATATCAACCATCATTTGTTATATATATAACATGATGAAAGACAATAATGCTTAAAATAATATATATATATATATATATATATATATATATATATATATATTCCCGGCTTAAAATAATAATTCACTCATCAATAATGATATCAACCATCATTTGTTAATCAAATTCACACATTTCCCATCCCCAACATATATGATATATATTAACATTTAGCAAGGTAAAGATCACCAGTAGCAATCCACCAGTAGTGAATATTACCAAAAACCCTTGCTCATCAAGTGGATTGTAAACATTATGAGATAGAAACTAAATAATTGTACAATAACATATCTGCACATCATATAAATCTGGATTCAACAAACAAATTTAACAGAATGTACGGAGATCGCCACAGGCACCTTCATGGTAAGCGAACATACGCACAGCCATGGACCCTGCAAAATAGAAGACTCATATAAGATTGAATTATCCTTATGTATGATTATTAAGCTAGGCAAAATATTCACTTTTCAAAAAATACTTCCTGCATTCCACTCCCTCAACATTCTCATAACATGCTATGCTTTTTCTGGTGTTTGAATACCACATTCTTTTTCTTTTAATAAACACCTTATAACAAAAGATGAGCCACCCCCAATGATTATGCATGACACGCAGCTAAAACTAAGTTGAGATAATGATCTGTTAATCCCAGCAATGTACGAACTGAATCACAGTTTATTAAAGCAAAAAGAGTATTTTGAAATCAATCAAGTATCGTCTCAATTATCTGCAAGAATTTACTCAGTCCATTGTCACCAATCAACCATATAAAGACACATTTCTTCTATTCAGTATTCAATCAAATGCCATTATTTAAATTCCCTCAACATTGAACCACTATCTTTCTTTCCCTCCACCCATCTTCACACCAATTCCATCTCTAAGCTTCCCCCTTAGTGCCTGCTGAGACTGATTTCCTATTGGACTATAGTTGAATGGAACCCCCCAGTTCCCACAATTCCTCAAGAACTTCCAAAAAAATTCCTCAAGTACTCGCTGCACTTCAATCATAAGGTCATTAGTGTACTGTTGCACCTTATCGTCCTCAACAGTATCATCTCTCGACTTCACACAGTTGCAATCACTCCTAATTTTATGCTGCATTATCTTGCCACCCATCCAACTTAATTTGCAATCATTCAATTTTTTATTATTATTTTTTTTCCCCGGTAGGTAAGTTGTGCATCCAACTCTCACATACACATCCATTATAGCTCCCAGGAAGACTTGAAACGCTCAAACCTTCCGCATCCAACTCTCTCACACACACCCATTTTTGTGGTTTCTTGACAGCTCAGCATTGTGCATCATAAACATGATCCCTCTTAGCTACATACATTCGGTCTCAAAGGAGAAATAATAGCCATGATTATGACTGCAAATATAATTTCAAACACTAAGTACGCAATCATGCCTGCAACCTCAGTCAGAAGAAATATCACATATGGATATTTGAGAATTGATGTATAACCATGAAGGAAGGATATATTGTCCTAATGTTCCTAACAAAAGCAACCAAGTTTAGAGATTTTCAAGGCAGGATGCTAGGGTTTTCCTTATAAACAACAGAAAAATCAACTTATCCGATTGGGATTAATTTTTCAGTAATGAATAGCCATTTGCCAGGTTACCTCCAGTGAAAGCTGCAAAGATATATTACAACGTTGAATCAAGCTTTCTGCATGAAAATAAATATTCATGCGTAAAAGATGAAGCATGATTCATTTTATGGCTTTAAATAGACAATATAGCATAAGTTGAAACTCTAGATATGAGAAAAAAAAAAAAAATTCACAAAACACAAAACAAAACAAAACAAAAAGAGAAAGAGAAAGAAGATGTTAGGTGACTCATCACATCCGAAAAGTAGGTTATGGCAAATTTCAGTAGGAAATCTGACTATATCTTTCCAATATGTATGACCTAAACTTGCTCCTTAAATTGTTGAGATTGAAATTGTAAAGGTCATGCCAATCCAGAATCCTGCATGTGGAAATCTTTTTCTTCTTGAACCAAAAACTCCTTTGCTGAACGAACTCGTCATCAAATTCAGGCAAGCCGTGCAGAACCAACTTTTTACCTCTCTTCCCCTTTTTAACTTCATGATGACATAAATGTGACTGAGATTTCAGAAATGTAAAAGATGACGGGATTTAAGAGGGAAATAAAAAGGATAAAAATGTAAAGTAGCAAAACTAATAGCAATTGAAACCTCTTGCAAAAAGACCGTTTTCCTTTATTGGTAATGGAACTCGACTAATCCCTAAAAGCTAAAGTAGATTGGCAAATCCCCTATGTGTCTATACATACACATGGATTTGCTAACCCACAGCATTCGGAAGCAGCGTCCCAGACTCCCCAGATCACAAATTAAAATGTTCTCTATATTTGAATGCCTGGGGAGGAATCAAACTATCTGTAAGTTACTTATCAAGGATGAAAAAGCTACTTATCAAGGATGAAAAAGCGAGTGGCACCAAATGAACAAGTGAGAGGCACCAAATGAGGACACCATCCTGGTATTAAAGTATTTCCTATGAATCAATCAAGCATTGTTAAAATTACTAAGTGTAATTTATTTCTCATGTGAAGGTATTTTATAGAACCTTCTAATAACACGAGATATTTAAAAATATATATATTGTTAGTATTATTAAAGTACTTCTAGTAATACCTTAGGAACATTAAAGTATTATAAGGTAAATTACAAAAAAAAAATTAAAAAATAACCCTGATGTTGCAAATAACCCCCCTAAAGTGTCAAATTGCGCAAATCAGGCCACTGCATTAGATTGTCATTGTGTGTGATGAGAAATTACTAAAATAACCTTAATTAAACGACGTCATTTTATTAATTTCTTTAATTTTTTTTGATCTAGTATCTAGTCATACAATTAAACTTTGCATTGTGTCTTTAAAACTTTTCAACTAAAAAAGAAAATAGAAAGTTCCACCTGTTTTAAGACTAACCGATCCATTTAGCATACCCATTAAACTTCCCAGTTTAATTTCATCTTATTCCTTAAGAAACCCTGAGAAATCTTTTGGAGAGCTTTCTCTCCCTAGAACCCAAGACAACATGCCTATATTTATCTCCAGTACCCAAATGTTCTCTTCTTAGCCATTCCTTCCCACCGCGGCCTTCTGCAACTCTATCGAATTTGAAGATATATAGACACTAGAACATATTTTAGGCTTGCAGTTCACATTTATTTGGTTCTCGTTGCGAAGAAACATGAAAAAGTTGGACCAATTGTTTCGAAAGTTTGATGAGAGAAACTAAAAGATAAGGGAGAGAAAGCAGAGAGAAGACCAAGCAAGGCATCTTTGGTTCTCTGATTCTAACAAGGGAGAAGTGAAATAGAAAGATAATGAGGGTAATATAGAGACTTTAAATTTATTAAGGGTAAAGTCGACTTTTCTGATTGATCAAAAGAATAGGAAATGAGTTGGATCTACAATTATTGCATCATTACATATGGGCCATCCATGGGCAAATTAATTATATAAGGGTATAATAGTCATACTAGTAAAATGTTTAGCCGTGAGCCCAGTACATGACTAAATTCCGTTATACTTTTAACTGACATCTGACGACAAGGGATTGTTTGCCAAATTTTGAATTGTTTAGGATGTTATCCGTTAAAAATTTAGTTCAAGGAGGTTTTTTTGCAAATATACTTAATAGTTTTGGGGGGTTTATTGCAAGTTACCTTTTCTATATCAATAGAATATGAAAATGATATACACTTCACATGCAGTTTTATCCATTGCTACAATTCATTACCAGCAGCAACCAAATAACCAATAAACAAAACAATAACTGCAAGCTCAAACAGAAGAAATACTTGAATATATCATGCATGGGGCACCTAAACTGAAGCAAAGAACACTCTGATACTAAGGAATTGGCTGCGTAATAGCAGAAATTTCCACCTGGATCTCAGGAAGAAACTAGGAGAACCACCTCCCTAGGAACATGAGTATTGCAGCAGCAGAGGTATAAAGATAGTACCTAACGCAAAAAAAATTTAAAATACCAAAATACAAAGGAAATTTGAATTGCAACAGCAGGAGCACACAGAAGGCAAAACAACAAAGACAAATTATGGCATATAGCTTGTCAAACAGATTTTGCACTTTTTTTCTTTGGAAAGTAAATCCTGAATGCACTTAGTTGTCAATAAGTAGTATATACAAAAGGCTATTATCAAAACACATAATAAGCAACACAACCGAGTAGGAGTCATCAGCTCAGAGTTCATGCAATACTAAGTTGAATGCTTTGCCAACAATAAAATTAAAGAAAAGAAGCCAAAAGCAAATGAAACACTAAAGATTTTAACTTACTTTCAAACTGTATTGGACAGAAATGTGAAGTTGGTCTTATCAAGAGTCACCTTTCGATTCATCTGAATCGGAATCACTTGCATTATAACCTAACAAAGGTCAATCAGAAAAACAAAACAGAAAAAAAGCATCAAACATAACACAATTAATAACAGCAAAACCAGAGAGAGAGTGAGAGATAGAGAGAGATTACCTGGACGTTTAGTGCTAACTTTCCAAACCGAAGATCGAACTCTTGAAGCTCTTGACATCCAAAGTCTTCCCTGAATCCCACAGATGGAATCAATACGCGAAACAAAAATAGTTCAAAAACATAAAGCCGGTAATGAGAAATGAACATAGTTCAAAGTCGATTGTAATAAGAAAATATGAAATAGGAAAAACAAGAGAGAATAAAAATGATAAGAAAATAAAAAATACAACATTCTCAAACCCAAAATTGCCCTTCTGTTTGATGTGGAATAGTAGGAGAAATTATACAAACTTAAAAAATTTGACTCTTTAAATTGTCCATTAACCCTATAAAAGAAAAGATTAACTTAAACTGACCTTTCATCTGGTAAGGCGAAATTACAAAGACCTCCCCTATGAATTAAGAAATTACACTTGCTATCCATGAGGCTTATGCTTTTGTCACACTTTGTCTGTTGAACAATATGATTTGCTTATGCCAGTAAAATTGTAAAAATTTGTATAATGTCATTTTGTCCCTGAAATGTGTAAAAAGATACTACTGTCCTCATTGACTCAAGTAGAATGACCATATTAAAAATTTGTATAATGTCATTTTTCCCTGAAATGTGTAAAAAGATACTACTGTCCTCATTGACTCAAGTAGAATGACCATATTAACCTCATTTAAAATGATTTCATACGTCAAATATGCCCCTAAAACGAGTGTGAGGATAACAACAATCATTTTCACTTCTCTCTCCTCTTATTGTGAGTACCACCATTAACCCTTCTTTTTAACAGAAGATAAGTATCATTGAAACCATTGGGTTCTGATACTTCTCTCAATTTCTAAGGCCCTCCATCTCTCACACCCAAAGCCTATAGTTCAGGCCAAAAGACACAAGTTTTGTAGATATGTAAAAATATTATAGTTGCGCGTGTGCATGCGTATGTACAAATGTAATTAGATTTTGTTCAGAGAACATAAATCAAAATCATTTGCTAGAAAGAACCAGAGAGAAACTCATACCTTAATAGGATATAGAAAGAGTGGATAGAGAGATGGAGGAGAGAAAGAATCCAAATACACATACTTGGCCTCTCATCAACACAACAACCCATAGATAAACCATACCTGAATGCTCCACCAACAGTATACCATCTCTCCGACGCCACCATCACCAAATTCACCATTACCATTCAACAATCCAATATTCTATATCACTCGGACCCATCACAAGCAACTATCACCACCATTCCAATTACCAAAATGGTTCTTGAAAGTTCTCACAAAGGTTGTCACTTGTCATGAATTGGACATGGCGACGGTAACAAAGTTGCAGCTAATAAATTGGTAATTGTTATTAAATTGTGATGTTTATGGAATAGATTAATGCATGCTTCAATGATTTGAGTGCTTCACTATTGATTGAATGTTTCGGTTAACACGAGAATTGTTTGACACTGCCATTGATTTTGTGTGTCAATGCCAAACTAACGAACACCACCACATTTAATTTTAAAATAATCAATCTTGTCGTAGTTCTTACTAGATAATCACATTGATTTACTCCTCACAAATCCTATCACATTGATTTTCCCTCTCAATCGTTCTCTCCAAACAATAAACCCTAGTCCTAATATTCTCTGAGTATCCATTAGCAATTATTCTCATTATTAATGAGAAGGCATTATGATCTTTTCACAATGTTTAATAACTCAAAAAAGAAACCATTTAAAACATGATTCATTAATGTTGTCCACCAACAATGCCTGACAAGGAGGGGCAGTGTAATTTTTAAACACGTATGAGAGGTTTATGTAATTTCGTGTAATAGGAGGGGAGGTAACTGTAATTTACAGCCAAAAAATCTCATTATTTGGGACCTAGGACATCAAAGCCAAACTAACACCTTAGTCTAATGCAACCACTGGCATGGGGTCATTCAATTCTTTAACCAAAAATAAAAAATTAGAATACAAGATTCAGATTTTAACTCTATTTCTTGCCCTCATTTTTCATAGCAACCAATTGGAGGTAAAAGTGAAATTCACAATTTTATTCTAACGAAACTAAAAGAAACATTAAAATTTAGTATTAAAATTTTAATTATCTTCGTCTTTTAGTCAATTTTTGTCAGCAATTCAACAGAGTCTAACGTCTTACATGAACTCCGTAATAGCCCAAAAACAAGAACTACCAAACTCCAGAACCACATAATATACATTTAAATCACTTGATACACACACAGAAATATAATATACACACATTTTTACATATATACCTATATCTAAAAATATGAACATGTATGTGTAAATTATTTTTTATGAAATAAAAAAGAAACTAAGAAAAATTGACCTTTTGGGCATCTCTGGGGACACCATAACCGCTGAAATACATCTGACCCACCAACACCTGCATGGATACATCGCCGGCTTTGGCCTCCTTGAGGGTGTCATGGAACCACCGCTTCACACAATCGGAAACCACCTGCGACAGCGGCATACGGTGGCTCTGTGGCTCACCGCCGCTGCTGCTATTGCTGTTCTCCATCTTCTTCTTGGACCTCTGCCGCCTCGCTCCGCCGCCTACTACGGCTGTTTCTGGCGAAGTCAATCGGTTCCGCGGTGGGGGTCCTGTAAGTTGGGAAGTGCTGAAAAATTGTGCTCTCGTTCCAGTGAGTTGTTGTAGCTTAGCTGTTACAAATATGGAAAATGATTTTCCCATAAAATGAAGAGAAATTTATACACACGCATCTATATATATATATATAGAAAGAAGACCAAAAAGTATATGAATATTATATATATATATATATATATAGATTTGTGTGAGTATTTCTTGATGGGGAAGAAGATTTGAATACTTTGTACAGAATTTGGGATCTTGGACGGGTTTTCAAAGGAAAAGCTGAATTTGCAAGGAAGGAGGAGAGACGACGTCGTACAGATAACGTTGACTTGACACAAAACAGAAGATGGAAAGAGAAGAAGTATAGTGATACACCCAATAATTTCTCACCTATTAGGCTTGTTTTCTTCTCAGACGGCGCAATGCCAACTGGCCAGTGGTGGCCAAGTAATCAATCTTATCTTTCGAAAAATAAAAAGGTAGTCAATCTTATTAAGCGGGTTTCAGGTAAAAAAACAAACATTTTAGAAAGAAAAAAAATTCCTTCAAAATAAAAATAATTTGAAATTTCGTTTGGTTGATTGAATGATTTTTTAACACAAAATCAAAGGTAGAGATATTACATACGTAGTATAATACTTTCTTTTTTCCCTGTTTCCAGAAAACACACTGTAGTTTTTATTGTTTTCAGGTAACAAAATATAACAGAACAGTGTATTAAATAACTTCTCCTGTAATTACACTTTTTATTATATATATATACATATATATGTAAATAATTAACCAGACACCAACTAGTAACTACATCATTATCCGAATGAATGAACAAAAACTCAATCTTCTGCAGCATTAAATAGTTAGGGACATTCATATATGTATAATCTACAGAAATGGGAAGCCATTTCTTGGCAAGAAGCGCATGAATTACTTAAAAGGGTGGAAAAGAGGAGCATGGATTAGAGAATCCAAATTACAGCAGTGTTTATATACCAGATACAAAAATGCATACGACATATTTTACAAATCATATCTTGTGCCACCATATATATACCCACTAAAACCTAAACAGAAATTGAGCGATTAAGCGCTTGCACGCTGGACCTCATCTGTCACACACAAATGTATTTTAACCCCCCACATTATTTCTGTGGGCAGGACACAGCCACCAACAATGAAACTTCCTTGAGAGAGAGAGAGTACAACATACTGCAGAAATTTCCAATCCATGCAAGGGAGAGAACAAATATCCTCCGTCATGTTCATGGCAATTGACACGGCTAAAAACCCTTACTGAAAGCTGGGAGCTTAAAAAATCACATTCCTGTACACTTCATGGCAATAAACTCAGTGGAAGAGTAGCCCTAGAGCAAAACTTTTTACGAATCACTCCAACTATCTGCATCATCATCTTCATCGCTTCCAGCAAATGCCTACAATAAACATTCATCATTCTCATAATGCAGTGGAACATATTGAAACTCTAGAGAGAGAGAAAGATAAAGACCTGGCGAATTGCATTTGCTTTCTCCAAAATGGCAGCAACTTTCAAATTGGTTTTAGGACCCTGAATGCTGGGTCTTGTCACCACCGCAGGTTTCAAGTTGAAAGACTGATGGAACCCGATTAAGTTTGATTGTCAGCGCATAATTGGTCTTAAAATGGAGAATTTATGTAAATAACAAACTTTTAAAAAAAATTGTCAGGTTTACCTTGGTTCGTATTTGTTCCAGTAGTGAATCCCTTTCATCTACCTTCTGTTCAACTTGAGGCCTAACTCGTTCTGTTACCTTCCTCAACTGCACAACTCAAATCATTAGAAAGCATGTACCTCGTAGCAAAACCTTGTGCTCGTTTTGGAAAAGGTGACGAAAGGAGGGGTACTGCAACCATATCTTACCTTGCTTTTACCATGGGCAGCAACGGCATCAATGAGAGGGTTTCGCGGTCTGGGAAGCTTAATTGGCCGATTTTCGTTTGCCTTTCCATCTTCAGAAGCCGTAAGTGGAATGGATATACTTGATGACCATGAAGTTTCCCTCTCTGAAGTTTGGAAGACATGATGGGGCTGCTCCTCTTCCGTCGCTGGTGGTGGCACAGCGGTGTCAGGAGGATTCATCACTTTCACATTCGAAATTACACAGGAGCCTGTTTCTGGTGCTAATTGATCCAGAGGCTGGATTAGTTTTTCCTGCAAAGACCTGGAAGCATGTGTAGAAGCTGTATCTTCAACACTTGTTACAGTTGAGAAAGGATTCAAACTAGGTTGTACTGTTGCACCCTCTAAACCAAGGAAACCACGCTGCGTTCTCTCATCATATATTGATGGCAACATTAAGAATGGGTTCATGGATTGTGTTCTTCCTGAAGTGTGGATATCATCGTGACTATTCCCATGATCAACAATGGTTGGCACTTGAAATGAGAATGGATTGGAATGCGCCATAGTACCCGCTAAGTTTTCATAAACATGTTGAGAATTCTCATCTTTTGCAGCTGACAGTGGCGAAAATGGGTTTGAAGGTTGGGTAATTTCTCCCTTCACTGCCGGATAACCCAATTGAACTTTTTCATAAGCTGTAGATGGCAAACTTGTTGGAAATGGTTCCATATTATTCTGCACCAAGTCTCTCTCCGAAGCTTGGGAAGCATGTTGAGTCTTTCCTGTCCTCCATTGGACAGGGGGAAGAGGTGGCAATGGAGGCATCTCCTCTAAATTGATTTGATTTGCCTCAGGAAACAGGCCAAATGCTGGAAAGACTGAAATTAATGGATCGCTGTCTTGCTCAGAGATGTCTTTCTTGCAGATCGACTGTGGTAACAACTCTGACAGTGAAGGCTGGCTTGGAGGATGTGCTGGATGAAATTCAGAGGAAGCATCAATGCATATTTCATGATCCAAATGATTTGGAGGTTGTATCTGTTCCAACTGAATTGACGATTCAGAACTAGCTTCACCTGCATGTGGACATTCCTTATCAAGCTGAGTAGCTTGTAACTCAACCTTTTGCTCCACAGGAATTCTTAGCTCAGCAAGGTAATGGGTCAGTGAAGATAGAGAATCTACTGAATTCTCGATCATATTACTCTGCTGGAGAGAGAGAGATTTTGAATCTCGGCCGTTTTGATTTGAAGATGATAGGACTGCAGCAGCATCATTAGGGTGGGAACCATTTTCAGTATCTGCAGCCATAAATGAATCAGAAACATCATCGATCAATTCTGCGTAGGAATGATCATAAAAGATTTTATTGCACGGAATGGAGTCAAATTCTGGTGAAGCAATTGCCTGTTGATCAACTTCCTTCTCTCCGTCTGATTGTTTAAGATGCACTGGAAGACATGCCTCGTGGCTTTCCAATCCATTCTGATTTGAATCCCCAAGACCAGAAAGAGGAACTTCTTGGGACCCTGTGAGATTGGTAGAGAAATAATTAACACAATTTTCACCATCATTATCATCATCAGTGCTTGCAGCAGCTGAATCCACAGCAACAGCTTCAGATTGAGCTGTTTCAGTTCCTATATCATTTAAGGGTATATGAACCTTGATATCTGGTGCAGGATCTGGAGATTTAGGACAATCAAAAGCAAATTCAAGAGGTGCAGCATCGTTTCCAACCATATCAATGCTGAGGGAGAGTACATCTGTTTCCTCACCACCTGTAGTGCTAAAAGCGCCATCAAGATTCTTCTCCCCAGAATATGAAATGCACACTTCCGCTGAATCAAGTTCAGATGGCGAAACATCATCTGTTCTTTCCATGATTTGCGGCTCTGTGACGTTACAAGCCTGTGGATTATCTCCTACAGGAGTTAAGTTCATTGTTATCTCCCCAGCTAATGGAATAGCATCATCTACTTTGGGAACAATGCCACCTTGCTTTGCATCTGAATTACAATTTTCTAGTTCTGGCAAGGCTGAATCAAGAGCCTGTTCTTCTGTATGTGAAGTAACCGAGGGTGGCGAATTAATCTGACCATCAACCAAATTTTTGCTACAATTGTCTTCTGAGTATTCTGTTTGGAGAACATAGTCCAATGAACTTTCACTGTTTTTCTTTTCACAAGACAGCTCTGAGATGTTCAAGAAGTGCAGTGAAGCATCAGAAAAGACGTTCGGATCCTCATCATCTAACTCGTCCAGAGGATGGTTTTCAGTGGACACCATAGGGAGCAAATCATCTCTTGTCTGGGAAGGAACATCAGAAAGATTAGGTGTACATGGTAAATTATCACCCATATTTATCGTATTTTCTTCAGTACAAATAAATTCAGCAGCAGGTTCATTACAGCCAGAGGATATTTCATCCAATTCTGGTTCCACAACTGCACATTCCCTCCAGCTTGCTCCCGGATCTACAGGCAGAAGGGTTGGAGTTGCATCTGTAAGACACGAACTAGAAGATGGTTCTCCAAATTCAGACCTGTAATTTGGGATCTCAACACATGGTCCACTGGGGACCACATGCTCTGTTAGTTGGGTCTCTGGAGTTTCCTCTTTGACAAATTGCAGGTCAGATGACATATTTACGACCTCAGCTTCACAAATTTCAGTGAATGGAAAAACTTTAGCAGAAACATCAACATCCAATGGTGTATTCTCGGCCAAATTGCTTAGAGAATCAGAACAGGAAAAACTAGATAATTCTTTTTTGGATGAGTTAACCACATCATCAGATGCAATGGAGTTCCCTAATGATTGAGAATCTGAAAAATGAGGTTGAAGCTCCTGTTTATCATTTCCGTCAGAATCTGACCCCTGCTTTTCAATATTTAAGATGGCTACCTCATTCTTGGCTTTATACTCGGTGTCCGTTTCCATTTCTGATTCCATTGTAGTAAGGGCATCCATGTAAGCATCTATCTCACTTGCAATGTCATCAGATTGGTAACTATCCCTACTGTCTTCTGTTCTGCTTTCCCCATCAACTGCAATTTCCTTCTCATCTACCACCTCATCAAGTGTAGAAAGAATATTATCCGCTTCAAAACTGAGGTTGTGCACCTTTGATATTCTATCCATAACTTCCTCATTCAACTCGCTCATTGATGATTCTAGTATAGTCTCCTCTATATGAGGAGATGAATATGGACTTCTCTTTCTCTGCAATGGTTCTTCATGAGGACTCGCTGTACTGATTTCAACTATTTCAAGCCCTGATTCATTAGTAATATGGGATGGTAATTTCAAGGGCGGGGAACTAACAGTGACTTCATGAACCACCTTATGCTCGGGTGAAGGAGTCTTCAAAAATTTCTCCATGTAACTTTTCCCAGTTCTAGAATCAAATGGAAATCCATTGAGCCTTCTCTTCAGCTTCACACGACGTGCAGGGTCAGTAGTACCATTTGCAACACGCTCCTCTAGAAATAACTGATGCAGTCTGCACAATCACAATGCGATATTAGTCAAAAAAAAAAAAAAAAACATATGCACGTAAAACATTTGCAGTAGAATATCCAAAGGAAATATCTTCACGCATGTAAAAATGGAGGACTCACTTTGCATGTGATGCTGGTAAAATGTCGGGTGTTTCTCCATTTCTCCAGCGTGATCCTTTCTTCTGGAAACAATAAAGGAGTAGCTTAGCAGAAAAATAAAGGAAAAAATATGCATTTTGGATATTTGCAATGATTACAATTTTGAACACTAAAGAACTTTGTATTCTCAAGTTGCAAGATGCGTTTTGCACAAGAAAAATCTAATGAACTGGTCTGCCAAACCCGTAAACCAATACTTCCCAGAATTAACAAGGAACAAAAAGTTCCTTTAGCCGCATATGAACTAATCTAAAATTAAGAGTGACCAAGAAAAATGGCAGAATACATGTCCAGAGTTTTCGTCAATCAAAAGAGAAATGGAAAGACTAAAGGTTCTCAGACAATTGACAATTTGAGTACAATAAAGCACCGCATATATGTTTTCCATAAGTTATATAACAAATCGCATTAGAAGTTCAGAAAATTTTGAGGCAGAGGTGAAGTTTGTTATCATCAAACAAGATTAAACGGTAGCTTATGCAGTTAAGAGAACAGAATCATAATTTCTTGATTTTATTTAACATAAATTAGAAAAATGGGAACAAAAATAAGCAATTACAATGAAAAAGCAACAAAACTTATCAATATATGCAATAAATTTAATTGTTTAAAAACCACATAAGTTGCAAGTCATTTGTGGTGCATTGTGCTCATTCAACCTTCACTAAAAAATCTAAGTTGGAAAACCAAACTGTAAAAATTTTAATCCTACTAAGTCACAAAAGAGACTTATATCTAATTAAAATAGATTAAGTATGGTAACATAGAGGTCATTGCTAGGATATAAAGCATGAGGTGGGTTCAAGAATGATAGCAACCATTTTGTGCAAAAATAATTAAAAATATAAAGTCTGTTTCCAATCTTACCCTCCCTACACAATGCCTACTGACCTATATTTTACTGTGACATTAAGATGTGAGTCAAATACCTAGTGCAGGTTGCTTACGTTTCAAGGTTAAACCTTGAGGTGTTCTCATTGAGGCTCACTTTTGACGATAAGCCTCAAAGAATGAGACAATATCTAATCACCTTATGTTGGGATTGAATGCCCTTAATGACATTCATGTATTAGACCTTTTCATTTAATTAATAAATAAGATTTACTATTTATTGTCATTAATGCATACCATGGGTAATTTGTGTATTATTAGATCCATGAGATGGATTTAGGCCCACAGTTTCCTGATGAATGATTTAGGTTCATAGACTGAGCCTTGTATATAAGAGACACAAATAATCTATATGCTATAATATAAAATATTATTTACAAATAGTGATAGAATTAGGCAATCTATGTAACATATTAATCCATAGATGATTTACCGAGTCATTTGAGTGAGACTCAAGATCAAACAGGATTGCCAATAAGATTATATCAACTAAATCTGGCATGTGATACTTCCTTATCATTGCTAAAGCAAATAGCTTTTAATCCTGGGAGAACAAATTACTCTTGTTTTTCGTAAAAACTGATTTAATTTACCAATGAGAGAGATCTCGTCAAATCAAACCTCGGTATTCAGGGTAATTAACACCAGGAGCATTGGAACATATATTCTCAAGATAGAATTCATGTGGCTTGATTTAATTTACTTTGATTTTGTTTGATTACAGAAATATAGATCTGGTGATTTCAGTAAAGAAGATTTTGACTCATTTTCGAGAGTTAAGCAAACAGACCAAGGATAATAATTGGGCAGAAAGGGGCGGGAGCAGAAAATTGAACCAGAAGCAAAGCACTACTTTCTGGAGTCACGGTGATTGCAACAAATATTGTGTCCATTAAGATGTTCTTTTCATTAATTTACCTTAGCTTTGCGGATTTTCTTCTCCCTCTGAATTTCTGCATTTGTCATTCCAGAGGATGATACTTCCACTTTAAAGAATGACGGATCAGTGTAGCGCTTGAGACATGCCCCAGCACCCGCAACATCAAACCTGTTACAAGCCACATAATTTTTTATAAGATTTTCATTCTCGAAGACGTGCTTTTACTTTATGTGATATTGCTCAGGTAAACACAAATCAAACATCATACTTGTCGAGAAGGAATAACCGAGGAGGACCCCGGCATTCTTCATAAGAGTCCATTACAAATCGAGGTAAATCTCCTTGTGAAATCAGATTTTGATCCATACGCAGATTAGGATGCCAGTCAACACCTGCAATAAATTTATGCATCCGCATTACTATGACGTTTCTAATGTAATATGATGCATTTAGTTTTTCTTTGGACAAGAGAAAGCTCTTCAATAGACCCAATCAATGTGCTTTAGAATAAATAATCATGGATTCACTTGCATAACATTAAGCTGATCAGCTTCATGCTCTCGCTTTCCCTCGACTCTACAGGATTGCTTCTCATAGGCAGGCCATGGTGGTTGATTGTTATCATCTTAATAACGGGAGACTGACTTGGGATGTTCAGTTTAGGAGGCACTTTCAGGACTGGGAAATTGAGGAGGTCACTCATTTTTTGGAGCTTTTGTACCGTCAGGTGATTACAGCTGGGGATTCTGATTGTTGGCTTTGGGATCCTAATCGTTGGGGTCACTTCGAGGTTCGGTCCTTTTTCATGTGTCTTACGGCTAGCTCTGGAGGCCCTTTCCCTTGGAAGTCTATTTGGCGCTCCAAGGCTCCTCTCAAGGTGGCTTTCTTTGCTTGGACTTCTGTCTTGAGTAGGATATTAACCCAAGATAATTTGAGAAGGAGGAATCAGGTGGTAGTTAATCGCGGTTATTTGTGCCTGCGAGATGAGGAGACAGTGGATCACATTCTATTACATTGCACCATGGCTAGGGGCTGTTGGGATTTGATGCTTGGGTTGTTTGGGATCCCTTGGGTTATGCCTAGATCCTCTAGAGGGTTGATTAAGGCTTGAAGAGGCTTTTCAGTGGGGGCTCTCATTCGGAACGCCTGGAGGGCTACGCCTCTTTGTATTTGGTGGTGCATTTGGCTCGAGAGAAATCGGAGATATTTCAATGGAAAGGAGAAGCCTATCTCTATGCTTAAGTTCTCTATTATTTTCACTCTTTTTTGTTGGGTCTCAGGGAGAGATTATCGATCTGTAGAGGAGATTGTTGTTTTTTTGGCCTCTTTGAAGGCTTGAGGCGCTTTTGGCCTCGTGTGTTTCTTTGGGTTTTGCTCCCCTTTTGAGCGCTTTTAATAAATTTTACTTATCAAAAAAAAAAAAATCATAAAACCCCCTTCCACTATTAAAAATATGCATATAACCCCTGACAGAATCAAATAACCCCCGAACTAACAAAACTTATCAAGTTAACCCATATCCGTACTAACTGGGTAATGAAATGACGAATCGACCTTGCTATTTAATGTTAAATTGAAATGCTAATAATTATTATTTTAAAATTACAAATTTAACGTTCATGGGGTCCATTCCAATTGAAATTTAATGTGTTTTTTTATTTAGTGAGTGTTTGTTTTCAATTCGAATGGACCCCATGAAGGTTAGATTTGTAATTTTAAAATAACAATTATAATGATTTTAATTTAACATTAAATAGTAAGGTCAATTTTGTTATTTCACAATCGACTTAGCACAATTATGGAGTAACATGATAAGTTTTGTTAGTTTTGGAGGTTATTTGATTCTGTTGGGGGTTATGTGCATATTTTTTATAGTATAGGGGGGCTAAGGGTGGTTTTATGATTTTACCCCTAATTTAAAAGCAGAAGGCCATTTTAAGATGGGAGCAAAGTGCAATGAGACAAAAAGGAACACAAAAAAAAAGTACTGCTTTAAGATAAAAAAATGAAAACATATTGAGGTTGCCCCAAGGAGGCAAGGACACAAGATCTAAAATTTGAGCAGATACATTAGGAGAGTATTCTAACCTGGATTGGAAAAAAATAATGTATGACTGGTTTGGGACAGAAAAGCTCTCTCAACTGAAGGAAAATCTGCTTCAAGCTGTTGCACACGAACCATTAGACCATGGCCTCTTGCAGCAGTCGCCATCACTTCTTCATGCAAGTCATGGAATATCTCGGCAGCAAACCTTCAGCAATCACAAACAAAAGGAAATCATACAGATTTTTATGTCAGAACTTTTAAAATAATAACTATCACAGAATTGAACTGCAGTAAATTGTGAGAATGAAACTAATGTCATAGAAGAGGATGACTGAAACAAATCATCTGCACTGCAGATACATGCCTCTGACACTATTCTAGAGAGAGACTTGAAGATCCATCAAGGAAGGACAAGAGGTGTAACGAGGAGTGGATTGGATACAAACCTAACCTTTATATTATTTGCCCAAAGTGGTTGCTCTCAGGATTTGAACATGCATTCTTATGCTTGAGAGCCCAAGCATTTTACCAATGTACCAAGCTATAATCTCAACAGTATAAATTTTCAATGCAGGAAGTCAAGAAATCATGTAATGTTTTATCATTATATGTTGTCCACTGGAAGTATGATAATGACACAATATTTAGATCATAGTTAACGAACAACGAGATTCTCAAGTGGCAGTACTTTAGCAGTATATCTCACTGATGCTGGAGCGTCCCTTGCTAAAGCCCAATCAACCCGGAATTAATTGGTCTATATTTTCAGAAAGTACAGAATGCAATTTTTTTGTAACTTTATGGTCATGCCGAATTCAATTGGAAATAAATTAGAAGATGATCCGTATATGGTTAAAAAGTTCTATAAGTCTACTTTCTAAATAAATAAATAAAGTGTTCAATTCGGACCTTTGTAGAGTGAGTTATGCTTATTTTAGTAAGAGTCGTTTTTGTTGACCGAGAAATCTGTTCCCAGGAATTACACACCTAACTGGAGCAGCTCACTTCTCTTCTCGATTCCAGCACCTTTTGATCAGTTTTCTAGTTTACTATTCTGGTTTTTTAGACTTACTTTTGATGGCTTTCATGTCCCTAAGGCCTCATTTAAACATAGTTAGTTTTGGGTCAAAATAATCTTGCATCTGTTCAGTTTCTTTGCTTGGAACTTGTCTTGTTTGTTTTGAAAAGTGTTAATGGCTTTGGAAATCCTCCATGCAACTCTATTTAAACCCTTGTTGATAAACTACAATGTAACTTTTAATGAATTAGTGATATTTGAGACTTTGGCCTAGCGTTACCAAGCCCCTACTTCCCAAAGGGAGGTCAGGGGTTCGAGCCTCAGTGGAGGCATGTGTGTGTGAGTACCAACTAGGAAAAAAAAAAGTTTTTCTTATTATTATCCTTACTCTTACCCTTGAGTGCATTCCGTAGGGTGGAGAGTATCCTTTCTTTTATCCCTAGGGTGAATTCCTTTGGGTGGCAAGCTATTCCATCCCTTCAGTGTTCACTTGTGTTACCTCTTATTTCTTGGTCTTTCCGGCATTACTCACGTATTGCACTCTATGTATATTGCAACACCTATGATATACTGTGCAACATAATCCTGATTTCCGTATGGAATTCAATGTATAGCACCTCTCAGGCTTTGCTTCTCAAGTAGCCCATTCTCTTATTAGCCAAAGCGTGCTAAGATCTGGCTTTAAAACTTGTTCAATTAAGGAACCAAACAAGAATAACCTCAGGTCTGCCTCAGTTGAACTCGTTTCTCCCTTGCTTGGCTTTGGATTCTCAACATTAATAATAGAAACTGGAATAAGTGAACTGAACTTGTAAGTCGCTTCATATCGATGGCAAATGTGATAACTGAAAATTAAAACAAATAGATGAACGAACATTATGATGACAATGACATTTGCTAAAGTGAGTTGAATGACATGAAGCTAGTGTGTTGGATAGCTAACATAAGGGAGCCCTTTGAGACTTCAGCCATCTCTCACAAACTATTGCTTAGAGAAACCTTCAAGCAATAGAAATGTCCAATTATTTTTGAAAAATAATTCGAAAGGGGGGACCTAATCTGGTAAGGCGGACTAACATTATCCTAGAACACTGTATAAGTACACAAAGTCCATGTCTCAGTTACTGACACGGTTAAAAGTCGCAGTAACATTCATTAACTCAGGGGCCATTAAGAAGAGTTGTTTGCCGTGTTGTGGACCAGTGACGGGTAATACGCAATGATACGCTTGATGTAAGGCTCAATAGCTTTTAAACGAATTATTGCATCTTTTGAAAATTAAAATCAACAAAATAAATCCAAAATACCAACATCTAGCATAGGTATTAGGTAACAAGGTCTAAGGGATCAATATAATAATTGCCAAAGTAGTAGTTTTTTTTTTTTTTTTTTTTTTTCTTTCTTCTCTCTACCAGTCTTGAAACCTGGACGTATGACTTGTGAGTTAAGGCCCAACGCCACTAAGGCAAAGGTAGACTGATGCTGAATTAGTATACTGTTATATATACAAACTTAAAGTAAAAATTGCCTTTCTCAACACGCTCCTCTGGTAATAAGACATGATTCCTAATTTTTTCTAGATAAGCATATCATAGATCTATAACTACCTTATTTATTTTTCTAAAAATATTTAATAAATGTGTGGATACTCATAGATCCAAGATAGAAAATCTAGATAACTTGAATACAAGAAAAAATCGCACATATTTTATTCTGTTGAAGGAACCTAAGTCACAGCCCAAGAACCCACAAATGATTAGCATTTGATGGTTGGGAAAGGAAAAGGACATGGTGTATTGAGCCGTGCGGAAGAAACAAGACATCTATATGAAGTTTAAGCAGTTGGGTGGGAGAACAACTGACCTTGTTGGATAAGGTTAACAGGAAGACCCAACTGACTATTAAGTTTTGGATGTTGCGCAAGACATGTCTCAACTGAGTTGTTATGGTAGAGTAAGATCCTTCAAAGGATATCTTAAGTCTCAAAGGAGACGAATGAGCCATCTCATGTTATACGGTGAAATGACATCATGCATTTGTATCAGAGCTTAACTCCGCCAATTTACAAGGGACTTTAAAATATGATTAGGGAGATTAAAAATTGCATAATATTGAAAGATAAAAGACAAGACATCACAGCACTTATATATCATCAATTTCGATATCAAATAACCCAAAAATCATCAACTTCTGTAGCATACATCCGAAAAACAATGTAACATAAATAGGAGAAATTGCATGCTAAATGGAAAATTTCAATCTCTATATCTATCTTTATAAATACGACCATGTGGGCCATTAGGAGCTTGAATTTTCCAATTTAATTTTTCTTTTAAACACCTGAAACCTAAGGCATGTCTCCCTAAGTTTCCCAATCTACTTCTTGGGGTTAATTTGCCACTTTAGTTCTAAAAACTTTTCATGCAAGACAATCAATTGTTCAAATTACAACAAAAACAAAAACAAAACAAAGATTCATTCCACAGTTTAAGCCCCAACCCAAGTGTGCCAACATCTCCAATTATAAAATTCAATCCAATAATTAAAAATTAAAAATAAAATCGAACTCCAACAGATCTCAAATCCACACTCCAAACAAAATCCCAATTTCTTCACCCAAATTGTTCAATTACCAAAATTGTGCAATTATCAGTACGAACCCAAATTCAGACCCTAATTTCATAGCATTTGGTTCAAAACAAAGTATTTCAAAACTCAAACTTAATTCAACCCTAATAAAGTACAAGAGACGAAAAAAGAGACTCACTCAGCTAGGTCACCCAACTGGCGCAAAACACCGACGAGACCGGCCATGGCCACGCCTTCAAGCAGAGCTTCGGGATCATCCTTATCAGCTGCTCTGTACAGCTCTGGATCAGCCAAGCTGTACTCATTTCTTATCTGATACCGAGTCAATGGCATTCTCGATTCTCCGATCAGATACAGAACCGAAATTTTCCTAATATGTACTTCGTTTTCTCTCTCTTCTTCAATTCCTACACTACATTTCCATCATGAATAATCTTCGAAATACATACATATATATATATGTGTGATACATATATCGATATAGAGAGATAATTTTAGAGAGAGAATTTATTTATCGGGGTGCGGAGTTGAAATGAATATATACACACTCACGGAGAGGTTAGGAGGCTCAAGACTCAGGAGAGTGTATTGTATGTGTATGTGTGTGTATTTTAATGACAAAAAGGATTTTAAATTTTTATCTGAGAATTTTGTAGGGAATGAAAGAAACGGTGAGTGGTCTTAAAGTACGCCTATGTGCATAGCGCGCATCGTGCCGCTTATTATGCTCTCTCACTGTATTGGATCATGTATCTAATGTGGTCTCATAAATTACAATGCAAAAATTACTTGTATTATAATACAAAAATTACTTGTATGTGTATGTGTGTGTTTATATATATGTGTGATATGAATTATGATAACGCATAAGTTAAAATGTTTCGATCTGAATTATGATGATACGTAACTTAAAATGTTTCTATCCTTGGTTCCGGTGATATCACCTTCGGACCATGATCAATTCTCACTCATTTTTGGAAACAGTATTTTGCTAATGTTAATAATAGAAGTAGAAATAGATTGTTATTCACTGAATGCACTATTAAAAATCAGCAAATCAATGGACAGGTAATATAAGACCTTTTAGCTTCTTTAAGCCTGCGATTAGATAAAAACTGCAGTAGTCTTTTTTAAATAAATAATAGAGAGACAAAAAATTGAGAAAAACTAAAACTTTCCATCCTTCCTATCTCTCTTTATTATTATTATTATTTTTTAATAGAGATTAGCCTAGTGCATGAAGTTCTTGCCATTGAAAGTCTGATGAGATTATGACATGTACATAATCTGAATCCCTCTTGTAGAGGTGCGCCATTGAAAGTCTGAGGAGATGATGACATGTACAGAATCTGAATCCCTCTTGTAGAGGTGCATCCTATGTTGCGTCTTGTATTGCTAGTTCAATCCATTATATTGTAGTGCAACAACCTAATAAGGTAATGGAACACTATAACATAATAATATAATATAATTGTTGTATAAGTGATTTAAAGTAGTTGTAGAAATAATGTGAAATTATTGCATAAATGATATGAATTGTTGCATAAGTTATGTAAAAGCACATGAAGCAACACATGATGAAACGTAAGATTCTCTATTGTAGATATATATATAACTTTACCTTATTATAACGAGGTTGTTTAATGTCATAATAATTTATTTAGTTTTATTTTTTCAAAAAGACCAAAAATATTTATTTATACCATTATTTTAATAAAAATAAGGACAATTTTGCCAACCAATAAAAAAAAAAAAAGAACAATTTAGGAAAATCATAATATTTTTACTCTATCTAAAAATCATTAAATAGTATTTTTCCACAACTTTTCTTGATTTTTTTTTATCTTAATTAAATGCATGTTAAAAAATTAAAGTTTCTTTCATTTACATTTTACTAGAATATTAACTTTTACAGAAGATGGCCTCTACACCAAAATCAGGCCAATAAGCTATTCTCATTCGGACCTAGGAAAAAATTAAGGGCTCATTTGGCAACCACAATTATTTTGTACTTTTACTTTGATCAAAAGTAAAAGTAATGTGTTCAATATTATTTGGAAATGTGTTCAATACTATATGGAAGCCAGTTTGGTACATTTGTTGCAAGATTTTTAGAAGTAAAAATATAAAAATATGTTTGATAAATATATGATGCAAGTTTGAAGAATTAAGTGGCTAGGTAAAAATGTCACTTTAGAGTTTTCTTTTTCTTTTTCTTTTTTTTTTTTGTGAACAGTACTTTTGTTACCGTACATAAGCAACCCGAATCATCAATTTCATACTTTTGATTTTGATCTATTTTTCAAAAATATTTCAGTATTTTTCAATTCACAACAAAGACGTTTTGTATTTTTGTTTCACTATAATACACTAAAAAAATAAAAAATACAAAACAGATACGACTCACAGCCCTATGTAAAACGAAATGTATATATGTATTGGTTGTTTACCAAATAAAAAATAGATAAGTACTCGACTATATAAGTGGAATGAATGTACCAGTTCTCCCTTTTATTCACTTGAGGCTGGTCTATTGTGTAATTTCTGATAATTTTTTATGGACTTAAGAGAGATGATTGATCTTTATTTTTAATTAGGCATAATTTTGATTAATTTTATTTTGTTAGAGTCCTATCATCATATCACATGGTAAACACCAAAAAAAAAAAAAAAAAAAAAAGAAAAAATCAACTTTTGAGGAGGCATGGTTTTGATTAGTTTTTATATTGCATTATTAAATTAGGAGTGTGTGTTTATGTGTGATGGTGGGCCCACAACGTGAACTGGGGACAAAACAATAGACGCGGGATGATCATTTCATCGTGTCGATTCATGATTGCTGACTAATACTGGAGAAACAAAGGTGGGGCCAGCTAGATTGAGACAAGGAATGTGACTGTGAGGTTTCATACATTGTAATGGCTTCCATAGTAAGTCCATGTTCAAATATGTGAATGATAAAAAATTCGGAATTAAGATATCCGGTGGTGAACCTATTAAGCCTGCGTTAGGTTAGATACAAGAGTCAAAATAATATATATAGATATAATCAAAATAATATATCTATATATATAGATATATGAGGATCAAATTTGGTTTTATATATATATATATATATATATATCTTAGGGCTAAAAACATAAAACCTCTATTATTTACAAAAAAATTATCTACTAACCCCATCAAGTACATAAACTATCATATTATCATTTTATATTTTTAAAAGTATATCATATCACTCCCTCCGCATTAGTTGATCGTCTAAAATTAACGAGATCATATCACATGATCATCACGTGCATCACATATTACATTATGCTAACCAAAATACCCTTGTTCTCTCATAATGACGAAATTGCCCTTCTCAGTATAAAACAAATTGCACGGGCCTTTACAGATCAAAGTTTCAGTTTTGCTATCTTCTTCTCTTTCGTTTCAGTGGTGTGGTATCCTCCATAACAGCAGCAACAGAAGTTATAGTCCTTCATTGAAGCCGTAATTGATCGATTGAAGTCCCCAATTGATTATTTGAAGCCTTAAATCGTAATTCATGTCAGCCCTAAGTTGATTATTCTAATCCCTAAACTGCAATCAGCCGAAGTCCAAATGTCTTCTTTCACCATACAATCTGTTATTCGGCAAGATCTCGAGAAAATGGGTGAAAGTTTGTCCATACCTGGAATTATTTTGTCTAAGAAAAATGACACGAACAACTTAGAATCCACCAAGATCTTTGAGCACTGAGCGATTACACACACAAGACACACCCACAATACTCGCTTTCAGTGATTGCACTCAACACTCGCCTCCATAACAATCAGCGCACACATACAAACACAACACAACAATTTAGGGCATAAAATCGTTTTATTAGATTATACAACTCACACGATATCATTTCACACGAAGGGTATACACCCCCACACGACATCATTTCACATGAAGGGTATACACCCTAATACGACATCGTTTCACATGGAGACACAATTGTCATTTAAAATTCACAATTTTATTTTTATAAAATATTAATATACTATCAAGAGCATTTTTGTCATTTTGCAATCACTCAGCGGTTCTGTAACGGAAATGGGGCAACGTGATAGTTTATGTTAGTTCAAGGAATTTTTTAATAATTGATGGAGTTATATGTAGTTTTTGTAAATAATAAGAGGGTTTTATGTTTTTAGCCTTATATCTTATTATAAGAAATATTCAAATGGTTAAAAAGTTCAAAATTCACACAAATTAAAGGATATGGATAAACTAAAATATGGAGATAACTGCTACAAGTGACTTAGAAATCAAATTGTTTAATATTTTAATGCAATTTATTTATAAAACAGAGCCCATCAAAACTTCCAAATTTAAGGCATGCAACTTGTTTAATGAGCATTTAACACCCCTGATATGCGCGCGCGCACACATATATATATAGTTCATATAATTTCTTATAGGTTCGAAAAATTCCCTAAAGTTTATTTTAGGAGAGAACAAGGATCTCCCCGGTTAATGGAGGGATAGAAATACAAAAAATGCCCTTTCTACAATTAAAATAAAAAATAATAAAAACTTCAGTTAATATAAAATGACTATTATGGCCTTTATTAAACGACCATGTTAGTAGAGGATGAGATTTATATATATATAAAAAGAGGGTAAAGGCATTTTTGGAATCAAATAAGGGTATTTTTGGTATTTAATATAATTAACTAATCATGTGCTAGTCACGTGATTTGTTAACGATACATTTCTAACGGTTGACTATAAAATAGTAACATTTTTAAAATTTTAAGAAAATTATATATTCAAAATAAAAATGAAATATTAATTGCTTAAAAAGTAAATTTTAAAGGTGTTTTAGATACGTAGCCTTGTTTACATAATGTGGAATATCAAGTTTGTAAGGCAATTCATCCTTGTCAATACAACCCATATAGCAATAAGAATTCTTAATTTATAGTGACCATTTTAGGAACCTAGATTTGATGATCACGGGGTACATGGTATAAAATAAATGAAAACTTTGGAATATAGCAGTCACGGGTAGGAAGTGATTGACAAATGACAAATGACAAATGACAAATGACAAATGACAACTGACAAATTTTTCTTCTTTTTTTTTTTTTTTTTTTTTTTTTTTTTTTTTTTTTTTATGGGATGTAAATGACAAATTGATTTTTTTAGTGTGAAAGAATCAAGAGGACGGAGGAAGCTTCAATTTCAGTGGAGAAAGTTGTAAAGTTTGGTCCGGTAGTTGTCTTAATGCATGCTTTTCAAAAGAGTTTGTCTTTTGCTTTTGTTGTATGAGTAGTTGCCTTTTTTTTTTTTTTTGCTTAAAAGGTAGTAGTAGTTGCCTTTTCCCAAGCTCCTTCCTTGTTTTTTCATAGTTGTTAGCTTCTACCACTTTTTGGGTTCTCATATTTCTTCCTCTCTAATGGGGTCCTTATCTGAATCTTTGAGACCATGAAGCACAATTTTTGTATATTGCTTTGTAACTTTGTTAAGATTAAGCTACCGAGAAAAATGTATAGCACCAACATTGAATAGAGAGATTGGAGGTCATGGTTTGAATAAGGAATCAACTTTATGCATCCTCATGAAAGGCTAAATTGCATATCTTTTCATGTTCGTAGTGGATTCGTTGAAATATCGTGC